TCAAAATGTTTTGTAGTCTGTGTATTCCCTGAATTAGTGCCCTCCCATTTGTCCCTATTTTTTCATTGATGGCCTTCAGAATTCTGGGATTCACATTTAGGTCTTTAATTCATGTTGAGTTGGTTTTTGTATAAGGCGTGAGGTGAGGGTCTTGTTTTAGTCTTTTGCGTATTGTTTTCCAGTTCTGCCAGCACCATCTGTTGAAGAGACTATCACTTCCCCATGCGATATATTTAGGTACTTTGTCAAAAATCAGTTGGCTATATGTGGATGGGTTAATTTCTGGAGACTTGATTCTGTTCCATTGGTCAATATATCTTTCATTGTACCAATACCAAGCTGTTTTGACCACTGTAGCCATGTAATAAATTTTGAGGTCAGGGAGTGAGAGGTTTCCAACTTTATTCTTCTTCTTAAGGAGTGCTTTGCTTATCCTGGGTCTCTTTCTGTGGGTTTTTTTTTTAAAGCCAGCTTCCATTTTGAACACTGCCTACATTTTATCTCCCTTGAGAAAATTGAAAATGAAGGGAATGACCATACAGAAAAAATATATGTATAATTCTTTTTTTTCCTTTCCTGAGACTGCGTTTTTTGATAAGGATGACTCAACAGATTTTTTATCTCATGTTTTGCATTGTAAATAACTACGTTAAATCCTCTTTAAAGAAAAGCCTACATGATATTCAGATGGAATCTTTTTAAAGTTATCCCTTTATTGGCGTCTTGGTGTACAGCTATAGGATAAACACTGGACTGCTAAACGCAAGGTCAGTGGTTCAAATCCACCATCCATTCCTCTGAAACCCTATACAGGGTCACTATGAGTCAGAACCAACACAAAAGCTCTTAACAACAATAATCCCTTTATTGCATACATCAATGTACATGTTTATGTGCCTAGACAAGGCTTAAGTGTTTATTTTTTTGGTACTTCACTTTTTTTTTGTCCTCTTTTATATACGTAAGTATATTTGTTTAGAATCTGTGCATAGTTTATCTTTATGGGTTACAGTAAGTAAGCTAAATATTTCTTAACACTCTTAGAATCCATCTATCTTATAGGCTTTTATTCTTTGAAGTATATTTTTCATTTTTCTATGTTTCCACTCATTGTACTCAGAATCTTATGTCTTAACACTCTTAGAAATTACTTTAAGATCCTGTACTAGTATGCTATCCACTTGAAGTAAAGCATTAGCCTTTAATGTAAGTTGGATGTGTGTGTGTGTGTGTGTGCATAACTCTAACCAGATTTATATCAAATGTAATCTTTTTTTAAAAAAAGAGATCTAAGGAAATAATATATAATGCTTTGATCACATCAGAGGCATGAGCAAATCACTTTTCTTTTCTTTTGTTTTAGAATAAAGAAATTTCTTTTCAGAGAAGGAAAACAACCTATTCACTCACCATGGAAGCTGGGGAAAAGTTACTGAGCACAAGGAACCTGGAAACAAAAGAGTCAATTGCCAAGAAAATCAGACAGCTGCAGGACAGCTGGGAAGATACAGAGCTTCAGGTGAAAGAAACAGTTAGATGGTTGGAGAGCACCATAGAGGTGAGCCCATCATTGACTTTTCCCCTTTGTACTACTCAAACGTCAGCATATAAGATTGTGTTCACTATAAAATAGGAACCAATTATAAGAAGTCACAGTATTTTGAGTTTAGTAGAGGAACTCCCACTGATCCATGGGAGTTATGTCAATTACCTAATGTGCAGTAATGATATAACACAGGAAACGTTTGGCATTAAGTATACAATACTTGAGGTTCTAAATAGGTATTTACTTGTAGGAGACAGGAAATGTACACAAAGTTAATGTCCAACATACGGTGTGCCCTTGGGAGCAGTATATAAAAATAAGCACAGTGATACTTCATCTTTCTGCTGTCATCAGAGAATGCCCTTTTGCCACTTAAGTCAATTTCACGGATAATTTACATTTATACCTTTAAAACCCAAAATGTTTTATTTGGGAATCATTATTAGGGAAACTTATCACTGTATTGTAATGCTAAAATACTAAGTTATTTTCAAGGACTCAGAACTCCACAACCCTAAACCTTGTGGGTTATTTAAAAGTTCTTATGTGGTTTTTATAGTGGTAGTTATTTTTAACCCTTTCTTCTTAACAATAAGCTATCAATTTTCACTTTTTATTTCTCTGAGAATGACCGCTCCTAGCACCCCACTCCGCTCTCTAATCTGTTCTGTGTTCCAAAACCAGATAAACCAAGCTTGTCAGAGATGTCTTTCAAAATCCAGAGTAAATATGTGCTGAGTTAGAGTCTGAGCATCTCTCCTAGGAGTAAAGATCTGAGTCTTATTTGTTATGTGGACTATGTGAAATTCATTTATTCAGCAATCGCTTTAAGGAGTACCTGCTATGTTGAATGCATAATGGTGAATACAATTCATTATGTGGTGGGAGAAATAGAACACATAGTTTTTCTTTCTTTGTGGTCCAACTCCAGTTGTTTGAGTTTGCTAGACTAGTGAGCTCCACTTAAAGTGAGACATTACCAGAGAACTGGACCAACCAAAGTAGGTTTTAAGTATCAAAGGTGCTGAAGAATAGAATGTTTCTATCTCTGGTAGCCTAGTGGACTACAAGCTGAGCTGCTAGCCACAAGATCAGCAGTTCAAATCTACCAGCTGCTCTGAGGGAGAAAGATGAGACTTTCAGCTCCTGTAAAGATTTACAGCCTCAGAAACTCTGTGCAGGGTCACTCTGAGTTGAAATCTACTCCATGGCACATAAGAACAACAACAACTGAGAAGACATTTGCACTAATGAATCACTTATAAATGCATGCTTGAAAATGCAGCCAAGTATTTGCTGTGTGATGTATGTAAGGCTTGAGGAAAAGAAATGGCATGAAAGAATGATACTATAAATGGATACTACAGTCGTTAGGTTCACCCTCAACTATGAGTATCCTGTGGTCAGTCAGAACCTCTCTTAACCTCAGCTTTCTCAAATAACACGTGCCCCGTCTGTCATGCAAAGTTATTGTAATTATCATGACATATTAAAGCTGAAACTGCTGTGTGAATGGCAAAGTGCTTTAAAAGAAGGCAGCCATCAGTCACGGTGAAAAATGGAGACGTGGAGCTTGAAAGTGAAGGGTCACTAAAGGAAGTTCTAGAGAGGGCAAGAGCTATAGGGATGATGTTAGAAGAAGAGATGAAAATTGGTTGAGTGCTTTTGCTTTATGTTGCTATTATAGCATATGCCATTCAGCTGTCAATGCAAAAAAATTAATCCTTACGAAAGTGTTTCAGATATGGACGCTTTCAAAATTAAAATAGAAATAAAAGTAGATAGATCAGAGCTATGGAACAGGAAGAAGAAGTATTTTATAGCAAAGGCCAGCCTAGTGGTTGACTTGAGCCACATGTACGGTTACAAAGAGGCACTGAGCCACCCTGGTCTGTTCTTCTAGAAGATTGTCTGCTTCAAGACAAAGAATTAGTCCCTGGGTGGTACAAACAGTTAACATACTTGGCTGCTAACCAGAAATAGGAAAGTTTGAGTCCATCCCAAGGCACCTCTTCAGAAAGGCCAGAATAAATCAGCCAGTTCTACTCTGACATGCCTTATGTGTTATGTGGAATACGTGGAATATGTGAAACTCATGATGTTGTCACCCTGACTTGTAATTGACTCCACAGCAACTGTTTATATATACACTTTATAAAACCACATTTAATAGTAAAACCGTATGGATCAAATGAATTTTTATTTTTCTAAAGTTCAGTCTTAAAGAACAAAGTACTTACTAATAATACTATTTTCAAATAGACTTGGGAGCAGTGTGAAAAGAAAATCAAGGAGTTGAAAAGCAGGCTGCAAGTTTTAAAGGCAAAAACTCAAGATCCTCTCCCAGAGCTTCATGAGGATCTCCAACAAGAAATGGAGCTGATTAAGGTATTGAAATCTGAAGTGGTGTTCAAAGTTATCACTGAGCTGTTCTCTGAGTACTTCAAGTGTTTGTTTGTCTTTCCATTGAAACTGTGTTTTCGTGTTCAGTCGGAAAACATTTTTCCTATTTTCTAACATAGCATCCTAATCTCTTAAAGCACTGGCATCAGTGCTCTTAGAAATTCGTTTGTGGACCTGAGATTAATTTATGCAGAAATTAACTTAGAATCGTATAAGTTTTATCCTTCCGGTTGTCTTTCTACCTGTTCCTCCTCATTAATGTAAGTTGACCTCTAGGATTACTTTGAAAGCTGTTCCGTTTAAAATGAGAGTCAGTATGACTAAAGAATTTGTTTTCAGAAGCCCAGGAGGTTGGGTTTTTTGCTCATGTATGATATTTTCATAAAACTTGCCAAATGATACTTTGCCTAATTGGTATCACACTCACAAGCACCTAAGGAGAGAGGCCAAGAGCATTGAGTTAATGCAGTCCATGACTGGTTTCCATAATGGTTCCAGGTAACCTAAAGCTTCCCGACTCCATAGTTCTCATTCATAATTCACTTGGAGTTTTGGGGCAGCATTGTAGGATAAGCACTGGACTGCTAATTGCACAGTTGGTGGTTCAGACCCACCAGGCATTATTGGACTGTTTAGGGTGTTTCTTACTTTTTGCTGTTTTGAAAAATTGCTAATGTGGCTACCTAAATCCATAAAATTTGTTGAAAAATTGAGTCCAAATAGATGAACAGTTTTATTTAAAAATTTTTTTTAAATAAGTAAGAGAGTCTCATGGTTCAACATATAGAAGGTGTACAAGGTGTAGATGAAATTTTTTCTCCTAAACCCCTTCCACAGTTCTTCTCAATTTAATGTGCAATCTTCCAAAGATACTCTGTGCATATACAGACTGATATTTATTTATATGCATAAGACTGTTTGCTTCCCTCTGTCTTGGGAGGGCAGGGCAGAGAACTAGTCCTGCTGGTGAGTGACTTCACAGGCCGAGTCCGGAGTGCTGTGATGCTTGTACAGGCCAGTGACCGTGGAACTAACTCCCCACTTAAGCCATCAGACAGCTATACATGCAATGGCACAAGTTGTAGGAATCTTTGAAATTTGCCATCGCTTTAAATTATAGACAACTCATCTTCTTAGATTAGGAAAGGGCAACTTGTCTAGCTGACATCTTTTTCCCTTTTGTAATTAGTTTGGTAGCAAATTCGGGGTATTTTAATTGAAAGCCTGAAGCATGATTTCTGAAATCTTGCTCAATATAGTGATTGCTGTGATAAAATTCCACAGTAGAGCTCTCTGTACATAGTGCTTGGTTCTTTGCTTTTTTCACTTAGTGTTTCTGAACATCTTAAAGCTTGTGAATGCATATCACCCAATTGCTTTCATTTCCATCATGCATTTTGGCATCTGAGGACTTACCATGTAGCAGGCACTGTGCTAGGTGCTGAATGATGTGTTGTTGAGTGATGCTGTCACGATCCCTGCCAATGTATACCAGAGACAAAGACTAACGAAATCATTGTACACTCGGCATAAATACATACGTCTCTGTGTGTATGTGAGTTATGTGTGAATAATTCTAAGCCTGGTGAGTGTTAGTAAAGGCACCCCAACATTGTCTGATGTCTCGGGAAGGTTCCCCCGAGGAAGTAACTTTGTGGCCGAAAATGATTCAGTAGGAATTAACTAAATATATTTGTGGAAATATCTAGGTGAGGGAGTGAGGAGCAGTCCTTATGAGTAGTTATTAAGGAAATGTAGATTTAATTTAAAGATGAAGTGGAGTCCTTGTGTGGTGCTAGACCATAGGATAAGGGAACAGCTTTCAAAGTAATCCTAGAGGTCAACTTACATTAATAAGGAGGCACAGGTAGAAAGACAACCAGAAGGAAGATTCTAATTTTCTGCATAAGTTATTCTCAGGTCCACAAACGAATTTCAAAGAGCACTGATGCCAGCTCCTTAAGAGATTAGGATGCTACGTTAGAAAATAGGGGAAAAGTAGGGTAAGGAGTGGGCTGCTAACCACAAAGTCAGTGGTTCAAAGCCACCTGCCACTCCTCAGAAAACCCTATACAGGGTCACTAGGAGTTGGAACTAACTCAATGGCACATAACAAGAAGAAATCATTAAATATATTAAACTTGCCCACTAATTTATAAAACACAATGCCAAAAAGCCTGGGGTGCTTCATCCCTATGAGGACATATTTTGGCAGTAATTCTTAAGAATTCTAAAAATGTCCATATTCAAAAGTTTTACATCTGTTAATTATCCTATAAAATTGATTTAAAGGTGCCTGCCTGCCTGCCCTTTAGGCACCAGAGCTCTGCCCAGGAATGTCTGAGTTTCCTGAATGCATTTTGGTATTTGATGGAAAACTTTGCTTCAAGCTCAGGGGGTTCTGGGTCTCCTCTAGTTACTTTAATTTTTGTCATGAAATCAATTCCAACTTATAGTGACCCGTTGTAGGATTTCAGTGACTGATTTTTCAGAAGTAGATTGCCAGACCTTTCTTCCAAGGCTTCTCTAGCTGGACTCCTTTCAATTAAGAGACAAGAGCGTTAATTTCTGGTGCCTCCCAGAACTCTTTAAAATCCATGAGTGGGCTATCACAGCTTGGAAACTGGTCACCTGCGAATTTGCTCTCATTGACTTTACTGGGCTTGTGAAGTTAAAATGAGTAACAAACAATTAATGATTTCCCTTCTGATAAAAAATATGACTTCTTAATCTCCACACTACTGCTAGAAAGAATTCTCCTAGCCATTTTATGAAATGTAAATTCTCATTGGCACATTGAAAAATAATAGCAATGTAGCTTTTGGTTGTCTCAAAATCAGTTAGAGTTAGCACCTTGTTATTGTTGGTACCTCTCAGACTTCTCTCTGATGTAAATGGAATAGTCTTCTTCTTCTTTTTTTTAAATGTAATATTCTTGCAGAGTTTGTCTGATAGGTATGAATGGAGAACCACAAAATGTGCCAAACGATGAAGATTTGAAGAACTGTAGGCACAATAAAAATCTGGGTTATTTTAACACTCTGAATGTTTTGACTAGTTCCTTTTACCTCCCTTGTTGTGAGATTAATTCTCTCAATTTAGTGTTAGGATTTAGAAAGTTTGATTTTGACTGATACTTGCTTTACAATGTAAATGTGTCCATGGCCAGTGATCCTGTTCTGCTAACCAGTCACTGCCAGTTGTTAGGGACTATTTCTTTTCTCTTCCATTACACTCATTCTTTTTGATAGCTAACCAAAAATAATAAGTTATCCCCCCTGTTTTTGTTATATGTTTGCCAGAATTGCAACAACACATTTCTTAGGACTTCTAAAAATGGCAAATCACACTGTATACAGCAGTTCTGAAATGTAGTTTCAGGATTAAAATAATGTGTGTGTGTGTTTCTAAACTACAAAAGTACTTTCCTTTAAAGAAAGCTAAAGGCCTACATGACTTTCAAATTGAATTAATTATATAAAGCTCCAAGCCACCTGAGGAAATGAAAACTTAAAGTAGAAAAAGAATTTTCCTTTGAAGAAAAGGTGGCGAAGAACTGGTCTACCGAAAACGCAGATGCTGACGGTGTGGTGGGCGGTTTCTCACTCAGGAGGCCCCTCCCACGTCCGGCCTCCCCTCCCCCAGAGCCCAATCAAAGGATTAGCCAACAGGTTTGGAAACTACAGCAGCTTGAGTTGAAGCCCTTTTTACCCCCTTGTTGTGTTTAAATGCAGGAACTAGAGAAGTCTTTGGCTAACTGGACTCAGAACTTGAAAGAACTTCCCACTATGAAGGCTGACCTAACCCAGCGCATTCTTATGGAGGACGTGATGATTTTGAAGGAGCAAATAGAGCATTTGCACAGACAATGGGAGGACCTCTGCTTAAGAGTAAGTCAGCTAACTGCAGGGCACAGCTGTTGGAGTTTACTGAAATCTCACCCAAGGCCAGACAGAGTAAAAAGGAGCTTGATTTCCTTGAACTGGGAGCCCTTTCCAATTGGCGCCCAGGCCGATGCTATTCCTTTAGAAGGCAACAACCTGGTTTACCAGATTTGACCCTTTGTCTCTCCAGCACATAATGCTGGTACACTTGTTAGTGAGTTTTTTACAAAACACCTAAAGTAGGGGGCAAGCCGCAGTTATGAGAAGAAGCCTAGACTCTGCAGATGCCTAGACCCTAACTGGTGTATTCGAACCAGGACTCAGGGAAGAAGGTGCTGAGTGGGCCTTCCCATAGTCTCTTCTGGGCCAGGCGAGAACAGCATGAGTTTTACTCAGTGCAGGGCACAGGGACATTTTATGAAAGTATGAGAGCTCGGCCTGCACGTGCACTCAGATGTTTATATTCAGGTAGACTGCTTGGAACGCTCTCTAAAAGAAATCATGTATGGCTGCACTTTGTATCACAGCTGATCATCTCTGTTTACTAAGAATGGGGCTGTGGTCAGAGTCTTACGTGCGTTTGTGACAAGATTAGGGTGGAATTAAAAGGGTTAGATAGTCTTAAGGATCTTTGTTTAAAGTACATATAATTCTAAGAAAAATAAAGCCCTTGATCTCATTTTTGAGAATTAAGGAGAAACAGTATTTAAAAGTTGAAATTCAGACACTTTTGAATGTATTTTAATAAAGTGAAAACATGACATTTTCCCCTTCTTGATTTTAGTATTTAATATTCACAATGCACCCTAATTTTAAATGTTCTCTGAGAATTTTTATTCAAATTTCATATAAAAGAAAATGTTTAGAATATGTGAAAACTATCCTGAATATTAAGGTAGAGTCAAAGACTGGGGTCCAGATGTTCCTAATTGTTGCCATTCTGAAACCAATCAGAATGACGCAATGCAAACTGCCAGGGTTTTTAAAAAGCTGCCCTGAAGATTGGAAACAGGGCTAGTTTTTAAAGCTTTTGTCGTTCTTTCTTTTTTAAAAAATACATTTGGCTGGAGAGGATGTACAAACAATATTTTTTCCTAGCTCTGAAAGGAGTAGATGTTTTTGTGTAATAACAGGACAGATTCAGTTTATCCTTGGTTTTCCCATATGTAAATTGGGATGTTAAACTTTCCGGGAGAAACACAAGGAGTTGCTGAAACTCGAAGATGCTAAAAATTTTAAGATGTGGGAATACTTTTATACATTTAGAAAGGTTGATTTGTGTTCTTGAAACTTAATACGAATGTAAGTAAAAAAAATTTGAGAGTTGTAAATGATCCTGGAGTAAGCAGTCAATAACTATATGAAAGAACAATGAACAGAGCGAATTAGAATAGCACCGAGTGAGAATCTTTCTAACCCTACTTCTTTCCAGTTCTCAGTACTGCAGAAGAGTTGTCATTGCATTGACTCAGACTCATGGTGACCATTGTATATAAAAGAAGAAAGGCAATGTTGCCTGGCTCTGAAACAACCTTCCAATCAGTCACACTTTCATTACGTTCCTTTCTTGACATTTATCAAAAGTGTAGTAAACTTCTGCTGATGTTAATCCCTAGGTATTTAAAAGGCAAAAAAGATAAAACGCTTATGTCTCTGGAGACACTGATTGAAATTCGTATTCCTTTTGGTGGGGGAATGAAAGGAAGGAGGAAATGCTTTTCTAGCCATACTCAGCTGCCAACTCCATTTTCATTTATAGGTGGCTCTCCGCAAACAGGAGATCGAAGACAAACTCAATTCATGGGTTGTGTTCAATGAAAAGAATAAAGACTTGTGTGCATGGCTGGTGCAGATGGAAAACAAAGTTCTCCAGACAGCTGATATTAGTCTTGAAGAAATGATTGAAAAGTTACAGAAGGTAAGCAGAAGTATCCAGGTGGATACCATTATGACCACCAGTGAATTCTGAGCCACAGCCTCAAAGCAATATAATGTTACCGATGTGTTTCTAATAGCATTTAAGATATTTAAAAGAGCTCTCCCACTATGTTTAATGGTGAGAATTCCAGAGAGACAGGAAGCGGAAGCATGGGACTGTTGCGGTGGCCGTGTTGCTGTGTACGGCGGGGATTTGATTTTCTCTTGGTTTGAAGGTCTGACCAGGAAAGAGGCTCCCATTTACTTGAATGTCAATTCACACCTCAAGTTAGCATTTCTGGCCATTTCATTGTTAAGGAGTTCTCCTTGCCAAAGGAGAGAGGTCAACAACACTGACATCATTTTGAAATAGTCACTAATCCCCACAGGGAAGGGAGCTAAGAGCCTTCCTACTGCAGATACCGGAACCTCAGAGACCACCAGGAAATCTCAGAAAAACTCTTACTGATATTAAGCAAATTTTGTTATGTTCCATACTGTAGTCAGGTTTCCTCATCTTTCCAGGTGGGTTAAATTAGAAGGATCTGAGATAGGGAGGGAACCAGGGCTATTGGGTTAAGAAAGTAATTCCTGCCTGACATTTCACACAGTTGCCTAGTGACAGTTGCTTAACATTTCAGTTATCTACTGAAGAGTTAGACTAACAGGATTGTGATTTTTTTTTTTTTTTTAACATTTTAAAAAATTCCTCAGGCTTGAGGAAAACTACAAACTACAAATTGTCAGTAGTAATTGAGGCTTCATGTGTTTATGCCTTTGCCAGGATTGCATGGAAGAAATTAACCTGTTTAGTGAAAACAAGATCCAGTTAAAGCAAATGGGTGACCAGTTGATCAAGGCAAGCAACAAGACAAGAGCAGCTGAGATTGATGACAAGTTCAACAAAATTAATGACCGTTGGCAACATCTTTTTGATGTCATTGGATCAAGGTAAGAAATGGTCTAAACATGATTCTTACTCCCTTCATACAGATACTCTGATCTAGTGGATTGTATCCAATCTCGTCTAAGATAATCTAGCATTTTATATATATATATACACACACATAATTTATATATTTAATATATAATGTATATAATTTATATATGTTTATATGTGTGTTTATGTATTTATTTACATATATAAAAAGTGCTAAATTATCTTAGATGAGATTGGACACAATCCACTAGATCAGAGACAATTATATGTATATATTTACACATAAAGGCAGTTTGATAAAATTGAATGGAAATGCTTACTCCTACATTGTTACCAAGTCAATTGTTGATTCCAACTCATGGTGACCCCATGTATGTCACAGGACATGTATGCTCCATTGGTTTTTAAAGGCTATGATCTGTCAGATGCAGATCACTGGGTCTTTCTTCCGAAGCACCTTTGGATAGGTTTGAAACACCAAACCTTTCAGTTAGTGTTCAACTGTCTATGTCACCCATGGACTCCCTACATTGCTGCTGTCATGTGCTATCAAGTCTGATTCATAACAACCCTGTGTGACAAAGTAGAACTGCCCATTGGATTTCCTACGCTGTAGGCTTTAAGTGGGAGGAGTCCTGGTGAGGTGCTGTGGGTTAATACGCTGGACTGCAAGGTCGGTTTGAACCACAAGGTCGGCGGTTGAAGCTCACCAGCTGCTCCTCGGAAACTCTATTCAGGGTCGCTGTAGGTCAGCACTGACTCAATGGCACTTAACAACAACAGGCTTTAAGGGAGCAGATACCCCGGTCTTTTCCCCATAGAGCAGCTAGTGGGTTCAAACTGCTAACCTTTTGGTTGGCAGCCAAGTGCTTACCCACTGTGCTACCAGGAATCTTCCCTACATTATTAGAAGATTATAGTTTAGTGTGTCCCACTCTAATATCCTACTGGCTTAGAGTTTCACATGAAATAGATTAATTTTCAATGAGAATTGGAGACTTAATGTAAGAAGAGAATTTGAGGAGCTATTATTGAGAAATTCTATCTGTGCTTTAGGATTTGCCCATCCCCCAGATGAAATCATGCTTGCCTGCTCCCTCTTCTGTGTAGCAAAATACAAGTAGGTCAGAGCAGGGACAGAGTCCCACCACAGGAAGTTGGCATACTCCAGGCAGGGATTCTGAGTGTGTGTCAGGACACAAATTACTTGATGGGCATCTTATCTGAAAGTGTGACCTTAGGAACCATGGATGTGACTACATATCAAAGTTGTATTCTCTTGTGCTGCTCATTTTTTCTCCCTTTACAAAATAATGATGGTGATGCCCAAAGCTTTAAAATGTGTTCTGTCTTCACATTCTCCAATGACAAAACCCCAACCCAAGTATTGTTTAATTGCAACCTGGTATACAAAGAACAGTCACTTAGCCTTCAGACCACTGATGCAGCTTTATGGTTCCACTGGCCAAAAGAGCCTTTTACATAATAGATGTTTGAATATATGTGTAATGTGGAATATATAGGCAACAGACTGTAAGGTGAATGAAGAATTGGGGAGTAAAGAAAATATGATACTCCTTTATAATCTGGCATTTCCTTTATGGCATAGTTTACTGGAAACCATAAATGAACCCGATTGAATCAGCAAAGGCATGGGGCTAAGTGCTCTGAGAATTACAGACAGGAAGGAAGATGAGTCCATTACATAAGTCTCCGGGTTACAAATGAATGAATGCCCAACTAAAGGACAACTTGTACTTGTCCTTTGTTGTTGTTAAGTGCTGTCAAATCTGTTCTGACTTACAGCAACCCTGTATAGGATTTCCAAGGAATTGTTGTTATTAAGTGCCATCGAGTTGATTATGACTCTTAGTGACCCTACATACTGGTTCTGAGGAGTGACTGGTGGGTTTGAACTGCTGACCTTGTAGTTAACAGTCCAGTGCTTATCCTACAGAGCCACACCTGGACTTGGTCCTTTAATGTTATGTAAACTTGTCATTGCTGATTGAACCAACCTCTTACTTGCAACAAATTCATCACCGTCGTCTTTGTGCAGCTTTCAAACAATTGAAAAGGTTTTGAGCACTAAACCAACCAGAACTAAACCTGTAGCTGTCCAGTTGATCGCAACCCTATGTTGTTGTTGTTAAGTGCTGTCGAGTCGCTTCTGACTCATAATGAACCCATATAGGATTTCTGAGGAGTGGCTAGTGAGTTTGAACCGCTGACCTTGAAGTTCAAATTGACCTTATTGTCGAGTGCTGATCCTACATTGCCATACCAGGAGTCCAATAACAACCCTGTAGAACGTAGTAAAAGTGTCCCGTAGGATTTCCAAATCTCACAGAAGCAGACTGCCACGTCTTTCTCCCATGGAGCAGCTGGTGAGTTTGAACCACTGACCACTTGATTTGCAACCGAGTGCTTTAACCACTGTGCCACTAGTATGCCTTCCTTGCACTAAAAGTAAGGCAAAATAAGAACTGTATGCACATTTTCCAACTTAACTACAAATTTAATTTAAAGACACACTTTGGAAAGGATTTTGTTTGTAATACAGGGACTGTGTGTACATTAGTGGAACCGTATATCTGAGCAGTTGTAAAGCCAAGTGGTCGCAGCAGGGTGAAGGAAGGGACTAGGACAAGCTTTACAGAAGGGTAGTATTCCCAGATGGTCCAGAATGAGGAGCTGGGATTCTTGACAGTTACTGGTGGCAGAGGGGAGAGACATATGGTGTGAGCAAAAAGGCAGATGAGTAGAGCAGTTTAAATGCCATTCAGGAAATGACAAAGAAGCCCCTCTGGCTCAAGTGTAGGATATGTAACTAGGAAGATAGAAAGGGGCCAAGAGCTCAAATCTAGCCTAAGTATTTGAGTACCTACATAGTCTTAGTCATTCATGGTTTCTTAGCAATACAGGGCCCAATGGAGCCAAATATAAGAATGGTTTGGCTAGCAGCGCAGACTGAGTTGATGTAACTGCTTTCTAGTGCCAATCGGAAAAAAAATATATTTACAAGAACCCATGGGCAAGAAAAGGGTTTAAAAGAACATAAATTTTGGAGGCCATTCCTGAGTCCACAACTGACTCACTAAGGAAACTTGAGTAAGACTCAGTTTCCAAATCTGCAGACTGCCTACAACGCAGCGTACCTCAGAGACCTCTGTGAGGACGAGCACCATGCACTGCACAGTGGGCTCAGGGACAGCATGTAGGAGCTGGCACTGATAGTGCGACTGTTACTGTTTTTCTCTAAGAAGACAAAGTGACATGTTTGTTGAAAAGGATTCCCTCACTTGTGTCTTTTCCTCGAAACCTGTGTCTTTGACTCTTTGAACACTGCTTTGGGTGTTTTTTGAAATGAATCAGGAATCAGTGCATAAAAACAGCTTGCCTTCTAGTGGTTAAACTGGACTAGTATGTCTCGGTCATCATTGTCTTTTATCGGAAGGCCTCTTGGGCACCTAGCACTAATCATGGAATGATGGCATTGCACCCACTCATGGTTCTGAAGCAAGATCTAAAGTATGTGTCTTGAAGACTAGAATAACAGTTTATTCTTTTTGGGGGAGCAGGGGGTGTGGAATTATACATAGCGAAGCGTACACCCATTTTACCACTTTCTGTATGTACAGCTCTGTGACGTAGGTCACATTCTTCACGTTGGATCACCATTTTTGCTATACTTATTCAACCTGTATGCTGAGTAAGTAATCTGAGAAGCTAGGTTGTGTGAAGAAAAATGTGGCTTTTTCATTGTCTTCCCAAATTACTTCATCACTATTAACTTCGACTCATTGTACCCAAAATGTCTCATCTGTACTTTAGAGTTAGTGTTGTCAGTTTGATGCTGTATAAATTTTTTTTTT